ATTCGTGCTCCGAGGCTGTACTGTTCTTTGACAGCAGAGGGCTATAAGTAACTTTTGTTGCTTAAGCTGTTTATTGCACGCTTAAAAGGCCATCACTACACTCAACAGCTCGAAAGTAGCGAAGACGTAACACTGCAGTGTTTCCATCTGAAACTATTGTACTTAACAGAGGTCTTCCGTCTCACTTAAAACTTTTTTATTTCCAACAGCGAAGACGCACAGGTAACGAAAATTCACACACGGATCTCTAGAAACTCGCTGTCATCCCGCCTTTGCATGTGTCACAACAACAAACTTGTTGTTATATGTCACGATTATTACATTAAATTTCCCCCGTGAATACAATCCACTAAGCGTTAACGTGGTTTGGAAGGTTTGAAGTCCGGCTCCTTTCAAAGTTTTATGGTGGCTGGCTTTTTTACACGGACCTTGATTTTCCCTCCTGCAGTTTTGACAACGTTGGAAAAATGTCTGGTAAGAAGCAGACTTTATTAAGGGAAGCGTCTCACCAAATCATGGCTGGCGGTTCTGCGGGTAAGTCTTTCAAAATGAAAATACTTTTACTTAATACTGTGACTTTCGCCTTCAATGCTTTTGTAATAGAAATGACAGAGCATTTTAGTTTCGTTATATGTGTCTGTTTCTTCGACTCCGGCAATAGTCCAAAGCATTTTCCGAACTCGAGCAAAAAAAGAAACACGTAATGTGTCTAAATACGACAAAACAATTTAATTCATAACAAAAGCAATCCAGTAGACTACCGGATGGACGTGTTGACAAACTGGAGACTTCTTAGCACTACAGCTTCAACATTTGGGTTCCGCGTAACATTTCAGTTCCTCCGCTTGTTGGGCGGAGCGTTTGAAAAATAAGCCTAGAATCTAAAAAAACGTTTTATCATTAGTATATATGTAAAGTCAAGAAAATAACACAGTGATAGTGTTTATCACGCAAACATAAATAAATAAGTATTATGTGGTATATGATGATAAAACGTAAGATAACTCTGAAGCCAAGAATGTGTTTGATGTAAAATGTTGTTGAGATGTAAAATGAAATGTAAAAACTTTCGGTTCTCAAACTTTTTAAGTGCTTTTAGCATTTGCTAATTCTTATTATGTGTGTAATCGAGTAATGTGTAGGGTACTCTAATGAACTGAACTAATACAGCCTTCGGCTATAGGTTCCAACAGGAATTGTGTAACAGTAACAGGTAGATGTTTTGTCAACTAAATTGGTCTGCTTTGGGTAGAAACAATGCACGGGTGCCTGGCTGATTCCTCCACCCACTGCATATTTACGGACTCTGTGTATAAAGTGCAGAATTTCATTTTTTCCCTTCAAATTCAAAATTCAGTACAGTGATCGGAAACCACTGACGCTTCTAAAATAATGTAGATTGCTTTGATGTGTAAAACCACAAATAACGTTTTCTAATAAGCCTGATGCTTCAACCTAGAAAGCCAAAAAAAAACCGTATATTTAAAGACAAAAATGATAAGTGCTAATGTGAGCTGCTAACTTTAACTAGCATTTTCTTTTTACATTACCAGAGTTTTGTTTTCAGTTTCTTGAAGTGTTAAAATGATTTTGGGTCCGTACTTTACAATCTCTGTACGAACTTTGAAGGTATGATTATCAATATCTATTACCAAAATCGCCCCTTCCTGTTTTAAGAGATCCCTGAGAGCAATATTTGCATGCCGTTTTCTTTGAGGAAATGTGGCAATGATGCTTTGCAAGGGTGGAAAGTGTATCTCTTTGCACTAAATCTGGATTCACACTGCCTTGCGAAAGCAGTTAGTTCTTTCCATTCCTGTTTTGTTGAATGAGACATGACAATGTGAATGCTGTTTTAAAGTGAAGATTTCACATAACTCTTAAGAAGTTGTTTTGAAAGCTTCTTGATTTTCATAGTGCAATCAGGTTGAAATTCGCTGCCTGACTGAGAAACCTGTGGATTTATTGTTGAAATCATACGTGGACCACTATTATTGCACAGAGTACAAGTACTTGTGACTTGTGAAAGTACTTTTGTGCACTTGAACTTTTGCCATATTAAGGAAGGTGAATACTTATCCATTTTGGAGTTTTACTGTTTATATTCACTTTGTTCTACACTGCA